CCCCTAGGCCGGCCCTTTTTTTTTTTTTTTTTTTTTTTTTTTACAATGTAGTTTAAATAGGAAGTGACATTATGTCAAACAAGAAGCAAGGGGCAAGGCCAACCTTGGTGAGGTAGTAGACAGACTGCTGGAAGGTACACATGATGACCTCATCCAGGAGGGCCATGGCCTCATCACATAACTCCAAGTCATTGCAGAGCTGTGGGTCTGAGGACAGGCCTGGGGGTAAGAGGGAGAACCAGAGGCCAACAGCCAGAAGCCCACATCCCCAGGTGCAGGAAATAACAGGAGGCTTCGATAGGCCTGGGCCTGGGCCAGCTCACCCTCCTGGTCAGCTTCCTTCTCCATTTCTAGCACCTTCTCCTGCACAAAGCTCAGCAGCTCTGTGGTGTTGGCCATCCACAGCATGAGAGGCCGCAGCTCCACAGACACAGCCTCAGGGGTCAGGGGCTCCTCAGGGACCCCCTCAGGGTGGCTGGGGAAACAGGAAGGAACCCATGATCCCTGCCAACCCCCATCATAGTGTCCAAACCCTAAGATCTGAGTCTAAGTTGGGGACCAAGACCAACCCCCATTTCACGGCTAGAAAAGTTAAGTCTCAAGGAGGAGTAGAAATTTGCACTAAGACATGCATGGGGTAAACACAGAACTGGATGTAAATCCTGACCCCTGTATCCCTCCACATCTTTCTGGTCAGAATTTTTCTTACTTTTCTGGCTGACGGTCTCCAATTTCCTTAATCTTCTCCTATGGAACAGTAAGATTAGAATCAAAGTGAGGAGAATCTGGTGAGAGACTTATGATACCCTGGTTTTTCTAGAAGCACCTTTTTGACAGAGACACTCCCCACTTTTCAGATTGACTCTAATCCCCAAGATTCAGAATGGTCTCTCCCTCTTCTTAGCTTTATTTTTTATTTTTAAAGATGACCGGTAAGGGGAATTTAACCCTTGACTTGGTGTTGTCAGCAGCATGCTCTCCCAAGTGAGCTAACTGGCCATCCCTATACAGGGGTCCAAACGCGTCGCCTTGGTGTTACCAGCACCACACTTTCCCCAGTGAGCCACGGGCCGGCCCTCCTTTTCTTAGCTTTAAAACACACACAGCAGGCTGGCCCGTTAGCTCACTTAGAGCATGGTGTTGATAACACCAAAGCCAAGGATTCGGATACACTTACCAGCCAGTTGCCAAAAAACAAAAACAAAAAACAACAACCAAAAAACCACACACACCTATGATTATGAATGGTCTATCTCCCTCAATTCCTCTTCCGCTCAAACGTTGTTTCTTCTTATCCCCAAGGAACTCCCTAAAGCTTTTCTCTGACTAGGCCCTAGATCAACTGGATGGAACCTTTCCCCCACTCTGAATGGTTTCTTTCTGGCACTTCCTTTCATAGGTCCAGTGGCTCTGTTCTCCCTCGCTTCCAAGAATGGTCTCACCCACTACTGCGCAAGTTCCAGGCCCTGGGATCTCTGCCCACCCCTCATTTCCCCGAGTGGTTTTTTCCATGATCCCACAACTCCAAAGGTACGTACTGCCTTCTCCTCAAGCACAGTAGATAAAGCCACAGCTCCCAGCATCCCATGGGACCCCTCAATTGCCCAAGCCCTTCCGTGGTATCATGGGAAAGGTAGTTTAGCCCTACCTAGCTACAGAACTTGTTGAAGGTGGGGAGGGGAAAGAACTAGGGGCACAGGTGGGCTGAACCACGATGGGGCGCTCACCCAGACGGCCTCCTTAATAAGCCGGGCCAGGCGGCCCAGCAGGCGCGGCAAGTGGCCCAGCTCCAGCTCCCGGGCCGAATGCTGCACACACAGTGCGAGCAGCGTGGCGGGCCCGAGCGGCGGCAGGTCTCCAGCGCCAGCGGCGGCCGCACGCACGATCTCGCCCAGCAGCGCCTCCTCCTCGCGCGGCCGGAAGCGCAGTACGGGCTCGCGGCCGTCCAGGTAGGCGGCCAGCGCCTCGCCGCGCTCCTGCAGGCCGCGGCCGCACAGGCGGCAGGAGAAGGCCCAGCCGGGGCCCGGCGGTGTGGCCCCAGGACGTGCGGGTAGCCACGGTGGCCGTGCGGGCCCCGAGCCCCCAGTGCGGGGGTCCTTGTACATAAACAGAAAGTGCTCGCCCAGCCCCAGCAGGTCGCCCGGGTGCAACTCGGCCTCCCTTAGCAGTAGGCATCCGTTGTGTGTGACCGGGGCGCCTCGGGATGGGCGCACCATGGCTGGGGGCTCAGGGCCAGCCCGCACTGTGCAGTGACGCGGCAGGATGTCCGGGGCATTGAGGAAGGTGTCCACATATGGGGCTGGGGACCCGCTGCGGGTGGACGAGTTACCACCCCGGCCAAACACGTGCTGCTCCCGTGTCATCACATACACCACGAAGTCCTGTTGGGAAAGTGAAGATGTATGAAGGACACCTTTCTGCGAGGAATGGATGCTTCCAAAGAAATCCCTCTCCCACAATGGACTTTCCCATCCCCCACCTCTTTTAAATGAACACTTCAAGGAGATCTGGGATCCAAAAGGACTTTCCAAGTACCCCCACTTCTGATGAGTGGACTTCCAAGGCACTTTCTGTGGTAGACCGTCCCATAACACCCAACACGAAGACTGGATATTGACAAGAAGACCCCTTTCTTGGCATGGATGCTACTATTTTCATTCCCTCAAAGAATAGATGCTTCCAAGGAGATCTTTCTCCAAAGGACAATCCCATCTTCTCATCTCTTCTGAATGAACTCTTCAAGGAAATCCCTTCCTACAGTGGACTCTCCCATAACATCCAGTTTAAGGAAAGGGTGCTTCCAAGGATACCTTCACTATTAAAATGGACTGTCCCAGGGCCGGCCCGTGGCTCACTCGGGAGAGTGCGGTGCTGATAACATCAAGGCTACAGGTTTGGATCCCATATAGGGATGGCCGGTTTGCTCACTGGCTGAGCGTGGTGCTGACAACACCAAGTCAAGGGTTGAGATCCCCTTACCGGTCATCTTAAAAAAAAATGAACTGTCCCATTACCTTCACCCTCAAAGAATGAACCTTTCTAGGGAAATTTACTTTCTCCAAGGAACTCTCCCATTTCCCTACCCCTGGCCCCACTTGTCCACCCCTATGATGGAGGTTTCCAAATATATTTCCTCTTCTAATAATAGTTTCTCTCAGTATTCCCAAAGCAAGAAATGGATATCTTTAAACCTTTGAACAAAGTTTTCTTCCATTTTTCACATCATGAATGTACATGTCCAAGGAGATCCCCTTTCTGCAATGGACTCTCACCTATTCCCACCCCATGGTGACTCTTTTCCAAGGAGACATATTCCTACAGTGGACTCACTTATTACTCCCACTTCCATGACAGAGGATTCCAAGATACCTCCCCCCGCTTCCATCAATAGATGCTCTCAATATTCCCATCCCAAAAAAGACATCTCCAAAGAGATATCCATGTAGTGGGCTGTTCTAGTAACTCCACTTGTAAATAGATTCAAGGAGACCCTCTTCTTATAAAGAAGTGTCCCATTTCATCCACCAAATAAAGAGATGCATTCTAGAAGACCCCTTCCTAAAAATGGACTCCCTTCTCACCAGTCTATGAAAATGGAAGCATTCATTTTGACCCCCTTCCTAAAATGTCTGGTGATCAATGGGAAATTATTGCATTAATAGAAATGTAATATGTTATTGGAAATATTCATTTATTTATGATGATGAGGGGAATCATCCTTATGATGTCCACCTTTGGGTAACAATGGTACAGCCAAGCTCAACAAGTACAGCTGGAACCAATGGGAAAGCCCACTCTAGAAGGTTGTGGAGCTTATTGAACATTTCCATTTTTACTGTCACAAGAGGCATCCAATTGGTTTAGGCAGCTTGGCTGTGTATTTGGATGAGAGGGTCAGAGTCTATTCACAGAACAGCTTGTATAGAAGAATTCATTCCTCCCTGTGGGGGCAAGGGAACGGGGAGAGACATGTCTCTCATGTGTAAGAAAATAGTTATCCTGATATTCATAAATCTCTTTCTACACTAAACTCTCCCATTCCCCATTCCCCATGCACGGACATTTCCAAATAGACCCTTTTCTACAACAGACTTGCTTACCTGCCTCTCTAGAAAAAACAAGCATTGCTAGCCTGACCATCTTCTAAAGATAGCATCTCCTATTCTCCATCACTGTCTGAAGGAGTGGAATAACCCAAAATACATGAGCTCCCTTTCTACCCAGGAAGGGTGCTTCCAAAGCACCTACAATGAACTCTCACATTACAGCCACTCCATGAATAGACAAATCCAAATAAATTCCTAGGGCTGCCGGTTAGCTCACTTGGGAGAATGTGGTGCTAATAACACCAAAGTCAAGGGTTCAGATCCCCATACAGGCCAGCTGCCAAAAAAAAAACAAACAAAAAAACACATAAATTTCTCCAATAGATTTACCTATTATTCCTGCCCCCAAGGAATAGACAATTCCCATGAAGCTTCTTTCTTACAAAGGAATTTCTCATGAACCCCATCCCAAAGAATGGATGTTTCCAATGTCTCCGCCTCTTTCTAAAAGAGACTTACAGTCCCACCTGGCAAAATAGGTCCTTCCAATTTGACCACCTTCCCAAAAGAGACCCTCCTGTTCTCCAACCTTGTTCAGAGTAATGGGCAGTTATGATATATGCAATCCCCATACTACAGTGACCTCTCCCCATCCCCTTGTCCCCACAGGAAGGAATGGATTCTTCCATGCAAGCTCTTTGGTGAATAGACTCTTACCCTCTCACCCAAATACACAGCCAAGCTGCCTAAACCAATTGGATCCCCCTGTGACGAGAAAAATGGAACTGTCCACTAAGCTCCACCACCTTCTACAGTGGGCTTTCCCATTGGTCCCAGCTGCACTTGTTGAGCTTGGCTGTACCATTGTTACCCAAAGGAGGACAACACCATAAGAATGATTCCCCCCTCATCATAAATAAATGAATATTTCCGATAACACATTACACTTCTATTAATGCAATAATTTCCCACTGATCCCCAAGTGCCAATACTTTCATCCCCTCTGTTCCCTAACACTCAAGCAAGTTATGTCATCACCCAAATATGTAAAATAGCTAGGAGTATCAGTATCACCTGCTTCCATCAACAAGGGCCAAATTGTTGCAACGTAAATAATCATCTTTTAAAAATGGATTAGTTCACTCCTCCTACCCAAACACAGGCTTATCGAGAATAAGATCGGAACACCAAATGACTTCCCTGCCCCCAAAGATGGACTCTCCTGTCACTTCCCCTCAAGAAATGGACGTATCCAAGGGGATCCTCTTTCTATGGTAGACTCTCCCACTCTCCCTTGAAGACAGTACTTTGCTCCAACTCTGAAGGAAGTAAACCATCCTCTACTTGTCCCTCCACTGTGCTCTTTCTCAGTCGTCTCTCCTCCACCTCTTCTCTCTCACCAGTTGGAACCTTCCTGGACCACTCCTCCCGGAGTACCTGAAGCGACGGTGACCCAGGCAGTCCTGGGTGTTGTAGTTTTGTCCCCTTCCAACCGACGTGTGGGGTATAGGGCTCTCTGTAGGGGAGGCAGCGCTTACCTGGGTGTCCTGGTAGCCCTGGAGCAGCAGGAAGTAGGGGCGGTTGCTGGGGGCCTGGATGAGACACTGGGTCAACTGATCGAAGTCCCCAGGATCTGCAGGTCCGATTTGGACATCAGCGGCCCCTGGGGCCATGCTAAGTGCCTGCTGCCTGCGTTCCTGCTGCCGCCGCCGCCGACTCTGCAAGCTAAGCTCTGACACGCTGCGCCGCAGGGAAAGGTTTTCCGAGCGCTCCTTGCCTCCGGACCCAGCTGGGGGCCCTGATCCCGACCCTGGCCCGGGACTGGCCAGTGCTGCCCCGCCCGACGCTGCGCGGGAGCGGTTCTTCTGTGGCCGCCAGGAGGGGGCGCCCGTGCCTGCGGAACGAGATGGAGAAGAACGAGGCTGAGACTGGAGACAGGTAGAGGGAGAGGCACAGAGAGCTGGAGATTGTGAGACAAAGAATTGGCCACAGAGAGGTGAGACTGTTTCTCATACTTAGGCTTTTGCATATGCTGTTCCCTGTGCCTGAAATATTTCCTGCCTGACTCCTACCCATCATGAAATTTTCAGCTCAGAAATTCATTCATTCTTTTAACACATATTTATCGAGCACCTACTATGTACCAGGGACGTTCTAGGGCCCGTGTAACAGAGAAGACCCTGCCCTTGGGGATATTGAAACCACCTCCTCCTGAGCACCCTTGACAGTCCAAGTTGAAGGAGATAACTGCACTCTGGGCTTTGTCTGGACTCAGCACAGGCCCTGGCACATAGCGGGTGCCTAGTGGAAATGAACTGATGTGTTCACCACTAGGCTGTAAGATCTCGGAAAGGTGGGAACCTCACCTGTCCATGTCCACTCTGGATCCCCCAGGGCCCTAAAAAATGCGTGGCCCACAGTAGGTGCTCAATGAATGCTTTTTAGGGGGGTAAAAGGCAATGACTATAATTGTCTTTTTTTTTTTCTTTTGGAGGCTAGCTGGTACAGGGATCCAAACCCTTGACCTTGTTATAACACTGTAATCTAACCAACTGAGCTAAGCGGCCAGCCTAATTGCCATTCTTTATTAAGCACCTACTGTATGCCAGGCTCTGTGCTAAGCCCTTTATATGGATTATCCCATTGGATCATTACCTAGAATTTTCTAAGATTAACTGGCAAAGAACTGATTGGAATCCAAGCCTGAGTTCAAAGCCCATCAATTTAATAGCTACCACACTATCTCCCCAAGGGAGGCTCAGAAACGTAAAAGTGGTTAGAGAAATCGCTTAGCAGCCCCTGTCCCTCAGTGCACCAGGTCCCATCCCTGCCAGGTTCCATCAAGCACTTGATATTTCACCACTGATGCCAACTCCAATTCCAGGCCTGGCCTTCTCAGAGACCAGGCCCCCATATAGCATAACCTTTCTTGGCCTCTACAAATATCTCTTCCTCTAGCCCCTTCCTTTCCCATGCGCCCAAGCTTGGCAGACAACCCAGGTTAAGGCTACTGTGATCCAAGGCCCGCCCCTCTGGGCTTCACCCACTCTTAGGCCCCCCCCCCAGGCACGACCTAGGACCCCATTTTCTCGGTCTCCAGGTCCCGCCCCCTTCTAGGCCCCACACACACAGACCCTGCCCTTCAAGAAATACCTCAACCTACCTAGCAGAGCTGCTTTCCGCCACAGAGACCCACGCCCCAAGCGCCACTTGGCACCACGTGGCCCAACACCTCATGCGCCAGGCTACTCTCTTCCGCAGGCTCTGCCCCAGCATCACGGTCTCAGGGCATCAGCTCTGCACATCCCCCAAGGACATCGGTCATGCTTACTTCTCCAGCTACTAGTTTTCGCCAGTTTTTATTTCCTGCCAACACACTGGCCGAATCCCTCCGCTTCCTGTAGACTCCAGCCCATCCCACAGGCCCGCCCGGTTCCCAGACCCCGCAAACACGCTCCTTAGAATCTACTATTCCGGAGGCCCCGCTATACATTCAACCTCCAATGCAGTCTGAAATTCCCTTAGACCCTGCCCCCGGTCCGGAGCCACTCTAGGACACCCCCAACCACCATCACCGACCAGGCCCAGCCTCGCCAGGTACCCCTAATCCCGCTCCACCTCAGACCCGCCGCTCTTACAGATCTCGGTCCTGCTCCAGCTCCGCCTTCCACCGACCCGGTTCCACAGGTACCGTCCGGTCTCCCTCCCGCCCACTGCCTCGTTCCACAAGCCCCGCCCCCAGGTGCCACCCCGCCAGGGCACTGCCCTCAAGTCCTGCTGGCCCCGCCTCTTTCTGCAGGCCTCGCCCTAGGCCCCGTCCCCGCGCCGTCCCCAGAGGCCCACGCAATGGCTCACCG